AGCATATAGATTGTTACACAGCAACCAGAAAACCTTATTTGAAAGAGAAAATGGAAAAATTCTGATAATCAGTGGGTGACTCACTACATAGACACAGAATGGAAGTCATCTTGACTCATTCTCATTCCTAGGCATACATTAGCACACACACACACCAATAAGTATGTCTTTTTCCTGAAATGTTCTGCCCTTCCCTCCTACCACCCCCCTCCCAGGAGAGGCGGCTCCCACCTCCAGTGCCAAAAAAGCCACCCAAGGGCCCCCACCATCACCCCCCTCTGGCCAGAGACCGCTCACTGGAAAGCTCAGAGAAACAGCGGCAGGAGGCCAGGAAGCGCCTGATGGCTGCCAAGAGAGCGGCATCTGTACGGCAAAACTCAGCGACAGAGAGCGCCGACAGCATCGAGATCTACATCCCCGAGGCTCAGACGAGGCTATGAGGACACTGCCAGAGCCACACGGGGTCGACACGCAGTACACACCATTCACACAGAACACAACACATGTATGGTTGTCCACACAAAGGCAAAAGGGTTTAGACGCATCTGGATATATTATTTCGTTATGCACAATGCACTCTGAGGATAAATCGAGCTGGAACATTGATGGAACATGTGCCCTTTCCCAATGCTCACCTGTCTCCTGGCTGATTTAGTTACCTGTAAATGTAACCATGCTTCCTCTGGATCCAAACTCGTCATGTTTAAACACTCTTCACAGCAGCTACATGGCAGACGCCCCAAAATTGGTTATAAAATGTCAGTTTATATTCATCCGTTTTCACAGAGTGAGTGTATAGCAGGGAGCACTCTCCTGACTGGAGTTTCACAGGTGGGATTTATCTCATAATCAGGTGTTGAACCGTAACACGAGTTTGACTTAACAAGTTTACATATCTACAGAGGAAGCAGGTCTTCTTCCACGGGGTAGAGCACGTTCATGGCTGTGGCTGAGCTTTCCAGGTCACACAAATGAAATCAGCCAACCTGATCTTTAGCTCCACGAGACTCATGTTCAAAATGTGTCAACTCCTCTCATTTAATCCCTTAAATAAATTTCTCCCAAAGTTATCATGGTATATTAGCTAATTTTATCACTTTTGAAAGCACCTGCTGAATCAGGTAGTTCATATTCGGCCTCCACAGACACTTGCTCAAATACGATGACTCCTGACTCCAAAGGAACAAAGGTGGTGATTGGTTTCATAAGGGTAGCCCAAAATCCAGTGGGTGAAGTAGCTGTGGTGACGCTGTTTGTTGCCATGTTGCATTGCAACAGTAACCAGGAACAGAAAAACTCATTCTAGAACCTTTTATGTTTTTTACTTGTGTTTTTGTAGCCTCTGTAGATCCCACACAGGAGACGGGAAGGCACGGGGTCAGATGCCTGAAATCTGCACCGCTAAATGGTGACGCTATGAAATCCAAACGTTCATTCTTTTCATTGTTTAGGGTTATCAGCTGAACAGATCATACAGGTGTCTTTTAAATGCCTTTTTAACTTGTACAAATGTGTACTGCACAGACGTGATGGACAATCTTACATAAACACACAGAAGTAATAATAATCTTGTGTGACATGAAAATACTTCACATGCCACTCATACATAATGAACATATGAGTGCTCGCAGGCAATTTCTGTGGTCTTGTGGCTGAATGAACACTGCAGACTGCTGTCGTATAAAACAGCGTATCACTCCCCCCTCTGGAGAATGCCGTGATCACGATCATCTTCCTCTCCATCTCCACGTAATTATCAGCTAGTATTTTCTTCTTCTAGATGAACCCTCTTAAAAATGACTGAAATGGTTTAAGATTTATTTATTTTGCAAATTTCAATACAATTTTATAGTTTGGACATCCTTCAGTGGACAAAGTAGCAGTTTAACAGCTCCAGTACTGGTCAGAGACACTGCTAACACGAGCCTTCAGACAACTGGAACTTTTCCATATTTGAGTTTGAGTTTGAGTTTCAAGCCTGTCTGACATGGTTGCTCTGTCTCTGCAGTTCAATGCTGTGCTGACCAAAACGACAAAAAAAACGTATAAATAAACAGAATTTTATTTTAATGCTTCTTGTGTAAGCAGAAAGCCTTCACATGAATTATTAAATACGGAGCCCCGCAGGGGACATGGGA